CTTGTGATGACATCAGTGACTCAGCTGTTTGTTTCCTGTTTGTTTCCCGACTGTTTCCTGACTCGTGATGACATCAGTAACTCAGCTGTTTGTTGTAGATCTGGAGGTTTTCCTCCGCTGCCGCTTCAATCACGGAGTTTGTGACTGGATCTCTGATGGAGACGGAGATCTGCTGTGGGAGACGGTCGAAACTGCTGCAGGTAAGACACACACACACACACACACACACACACACACACACACACTGCGGCAGCGTTAGGACAAGGAGAGTCCAAACTCTGAACTGAGTCAAAGTGAGTTCTGTTTCTACATTTATTTAAATTATTGAGGCTCAGTGGTTAGTTCTGGTGCCTCATATCAAGGAGGGCCTGGGATCAATCCCTGGTTTAAAATACATTTAACATAAATTTCTCTATTAGTGGGCGGAGCCTGGTTAAATAAGCATAAATAAATATCTCCTGATGCATGCTCAATAATCCAGGTAGAAAAATCCAAAAAAGTTCAATCTGGTCCTCTGGACATTCAAAAAAAACAAAAAACAAAACAAAGCAAAAAAATCTAGAAACGTTTCGTCTCTCATCCTGAGGACTTCCTCAGTCTGAGGTGCTGTATTCAGCTCAGTCTCTTAAATAGCACCTTCTCAGAGTGGATCAACCAGTTTGCTGGTGACAACCAGAACCAGCTGATTCCAAAACCAAAACCAGCTCCTTCTTGAGCATGTGATCAGTTGGTTCTGGTTGTCAGCAGCAAACTGGTTGATCCACTCTGAGAAGGTGCTATTTAAGAGACTGAGGAAGTCTCTTGGATGAGAGACGAAATGTTTCTAGATTTTTTTGCTTTGTTTTGTTTTTTGGTTTTTTTGAATGTCCAGAGGACCAGATTGAACTTTTTTGGATAAATAAATATCTCTATTAGAAATAATTAAACGTAAGCACATTTTCCAGTAAACTCTTTGAGTTATCAGGGCAGTTTGTTGGATGTTTATGATTTACTGAATTTCTTAATAGCTTCAAGTTTTATCTATTTTTTTTAATTAAAGCTAAACAATAACAGACATATTTCTATAAAAAGGCCTAATTTCAATTATTGTAGTTTAGTAGTTTATGATATTTGTGCAAAACTGCACTTTGTTTTCTTCTCAGCAGCATGTTTCATCTGTGTTAATATGTTTAAATCTCCTCAAGAGGCTGAAAGCTGGGATTAAAGAAGAGGCTAACAGGCTAACTAGCTAACAGGCTAACTAGCTAACAGGCTAACTAGCTAACAGGCTAACTAGCTAAGAGGCTAACAAGCTAAAGCCTCTTTGCCACTGATAAGTGCGACTCCACTCGGCTTTCCTCCTCGGTTCTTCTCAGGTGGAGGTGATTTGCCACTGTGACCTGTTTCCCTGCTCTGTGGGCGGGATCATAAATGCAAAGTGGGCGTGGTCAGGTCATTGTGTTTGAGCCACTCCTCCCATTGTGCTCCTTTATCATTCTACAATCAGACTTCAGCTTCTTCATCTTATCCCGGCACTTCTTATCAGTCTGGGTGTAGCCGTGCTGCATCATCTCTGGCATCTGTCTGTAAATGTTCATTTCTTGTGGCGCCGTCCGTCGACACGATGAGGAAGTGGAGGGTCATTCAGTGACGTAGTTCTGTTGACCAATCAACAGCTGCTTACATCAGAACCGGCCCCTCGGAGCGCCCACTTGGAACCACAAACAAGGTGGTCCCATGAACCGGGCTGAGTGGGGTGGTACCGGTTGGGGGGAGACCCTGAACTGGTGCGGTGCAGAGTGGAACCAAAGAGAGATGAGACGGTGGAAAAGCGTCATAACAGGCTAATGAACACGTTCAACTCCTAGTTTTATTATTTTATTACAGATGTTTCATCCACACGTTAAACTCTTTGTTGGTGGTTTCTGGATGAGGAAACTCAGAAAACGAGTGATTTTAAACCATTTAAACCATTAAATGATGTTCATCTGTTTTTAAACCATTACATGATGTTTGTCTCAGGTGAGCGCTACCTGTCCGTGCCTGAGCTGAAGACGGGCCAGAGGAGCGTCCGAGGCGCTCGACTGGCTGTCCCAATCCTCCCCCCCTGGCGCCACGGCAACCTGTGTTTCTCCTTCTCCCATTGGCTGACGGGGCATCACGTGGGCGTGCTGCAGCTGTTCGTCAGGAGAACGGGTCGGAACCAAAGGTACCAGAACTGCGCTCCTCCACATCTGCTGCTTCTGGGTTCAGGTGGGTGAAAAACTCTCCTCTGATTGGCTGTTTCAGGTTTGGCTCCGCCCTCTGGAGCAGGACAGGTGGACACGGTTGGAGACAGACGCAGGTTACCTTGGCAGCACATTCTGTGGACAGAGTGAGTCACAAACAAACAAACAAACAAACAAACAAACAAACAAACAGAAGCATTCGTGTTGATGATGATGATGATGTGTGCAGGTGTTGTTGAAGGCCGAGCGGAGGGCAGGACGAAGAGGACAGGTGGCTGTTGATGATGTCACTCTGAGGCGGGGCACGTGTCGATGACATAATTCAGTTTTATGAAGAGACGTGTGATGAAGATGAACTTCAGGTGGAGGTTGTGTCATCAATGGGACCGGAGAGCACCTTCATCACTTCAGGTCATCGTCTTCAGTCTCCTGCTGGTCTCCTGCTGATCTCATGCTGGTCTCCTGTTGGTC